ATCACCCCTCCACTGCAGTCCAGGGTATGACGTAGGTAACGGAATAAGCCGAGTGGATCCGAATCCAAAGGTGCAAAGGTGCAAGTGATCTTATGATATACCATCTGTCAATCCGTTGTCCATCCGTCCGCAACATGCAAACTTCACTCCGATTCGATACCATTAATGATGCTGATGTACCAAATGTGGTCGTACGGGAAAGTTTGTTACAATAACATTATATTGATTTGTGCATGAGGGTAATTTGGATGTTACGTCAATGTCTTGCTGCCCTCACTCGACAAGCAGATCACATTTATTGAGCACTAACTTATTGTCATGAAATACATTTAGTGCCAACACGCGTTCTTACGTTTTGGCTAAACATTTGACTGCTTATATCTGGCACATGGACATATGATGCGTAACAATGACATGACTCAAAAATTATATTTTGACAATTGTTACATTGTCCTTTTAGCTGCATTCCATATGCCCGAAAGCCAGTTGCATGGATCTTCATGTAACCAAGCTGTCTGTAATGTGACAAATAAAAATGATCTGAAAGTGAAATATGCTGTGGTTTTTGTTGTTTCTGGTTTCGGGGCCAAATGTAGTCTGCGTGAAGAGTCCGTCGTCCATTTGCCATTAGCAACAGCAGGTCGGGGTGGACAATGTCATGAGCATGGCGAGCTCTTGGACAACTGGATAACAGCTGGTTTGTCCTGAGGGCAAAAAAGTGATCACTTGACCGAATAATTTCATCTCAGATTCCATCCACCTCATCTGCCTGACTGAAGTGTTTGTTTGTTTGTTTGTTGTTTAACGCAACACTCAGCAATATTCCAGCTATATGACGGCGGTGTGTAAATAATTGAGTCACGACAAGACGATCCAGTGATTGACATCATGAGCATCTATCTATGAAAATGGGATACGATGGCATGCATCAACCAAGTCAGCGAATCTGACCATCCGATCCCGTTAGGCGCCTCTAACGACAAGCATAAGTTTCTGAAAAACACATTTAACCCGGATCATCACGGGTTCTGACTGAAGTAAAGCTATTAGTTAAAAAACAAGGATAGGGAATATATAGGCCAAATATCCTTATTAGCAAAGAGTTTAGGATGCAACCCCCCAAATATACCACGTCCTTATATCTAACTGGGTTATAAAAGCACAATATGCATACATATGATTTGTTGAAATATAACTTAAACACTTACTGCTAAATAAATATCTCTGCAAGATGAAATTATTCAAGAAACATCTGCTGGAAGCAGAGCCCAAAGAACGATTCCGATCATCATACCACAAGCATGGAATTTTTAGAATTTATGGAATCGGGGTGTGTGGGAGATTTCGGGCGGTTCCTTACAGTATTTTACAAACCATTGGGCAAAATAAATATATCAAATATAAGACAGATATATTATACACTAGGCATAAAAGAAAGCTTTACCAAAACCAAATTAGTTGCTTCATTAACGCTGTTTGAATGTTGAACAGACTACCGTATTAACGCTGTTTCAGTGTTGAATACAGACCGCTACTATAAAGCTGTCACTGCTTACAACGGACTACCGTATTAACGCTGTTTCAGTGTTGAATACAGACCGCTACTATAAAGCTGTCACTCCTTACAACGGACTACCGTATTAACGCTGCTTCAGTGTTGAATACAGACCGCTACTATAAAGCTGTCCCTGCTTACAACAGACTACCGTATTAACGCTGCTTCAGTGTTGAATACAGACCGCTACTATAAAGCTGTCACTCCTTACAACGGACTACCGTATTAACGCTGCTTCAGTGTTGAATACAGACCGCTACTATAAAGCTGTCCCTGCTTACAACAGACTGCCGTTTTAATGCTGTTTCAGTGTTGAAGACAGACTGCTACTATAAAGCTGCCCCTGCTTACAACAGACTACCGTATTAACGCTGTTTCAGTGTTGAATACAGACCGCTACTATAAAGCTGTCACTGCTTAAAACAGACTACCGTATTAACGCTGTTTCAGTGTTGAATACAGACCGCTACTATAAAGCTGTCACTGCTTACAATAGACTACCGTATTAACGCTGCTTCAGTGTTGAATACATACCGCTTCTATAAAGCTGTCACTCCTTACAACAGACTACCGTATTAACGCTGTTTCAGTGTTTAATACAGACCGCTACTATAAAGCTGTCACTCCTTACAACAGACTACCGCATTAACGCTGTTTCAGAGTTGAATACAGACCGCTAATATAAAGCTGTCACTTCTTACAACAGACTACCGCATTAACGCTGTTTCAGTGTTGAATACAGACCGCTAATATAAAGCTGTCACTGCTTACAACAGACTACCGTATTAACGCTGTTTTAGTGTTGAATACAGACGGCTAATATAAAGCTGTCCCTGCTTACAACAGACTACCGTATTAACGCTGTTTCAGTGTTGAATACAGATCGCCACTATAAAGCTGCCCCTGCTTACAACAGACTGCCGTTTTAATGCTGTTTTAGTGTTGAAGACAGACTGCTACTATAAAGCTGCCCCTGCTTACAACAGACTACCGTATTAACGCTGTTTTAGTGTTGAAGACAGACCGCAACTATAAAAAAGCTGTCACTGCTTACAACAGACTACCGTATTAACGCTGCTTCAGTGTTGAATACAGACCGCAACTATAAAGCTGCCCCTGCTTACAACAGACTACCGTATTAACGCTGTTTTAGTGTTGACTACAGACCGCTACAATAAAGCTGTCACTGCTTAAAACAGACTACCGTATTAACGCTGTTTCAGTGTTGAATACAGACCGCTACTATAAAGCTGTCACTGCTTACAACGGACTACCGTATTAACGCTGTTTCAGTGTTGAATACATACCGCTTCTATAAAGCTGTCACTCCTTACAACAGACTACCGTATTAACGCTGTTTCAGTGTTTAATACAGACCGCTACTATAAAGCTGTCACTCCTTACAACAGACTACCGCATTAACGCTGTTTTAGTGTTGAATACAGACCGCTAAAAAAAGATGTCCCTGCTTACAACAGACTACCGTATTAACGCTGTTTTAGTGTTGAATACAGACCGCTACTATAAAGCTGTCCCTGCTTACAACAGACTACCGTATTTACGATGTTTCAGTGTTGAATACAGATCGCCACTATAAAGCTGTCACTGCTTACAACAGACTACCGTATTAACGCTGTTTGAGTGTTGACTACAGACCGCTACTATAAAGCTGTCACTGCTTAAAACAGACTACCGTATTAAATTTGTTTCAGTGTTGAATACAGACCGCTACTATAAAGCTGTCACTGCTTACAACGGACTACCGTATTAACGCTGTTTCAGTGTTGAATACATACCGCTTCTATAAAGCTGTCACTCCTTACAACAGACTACCGTATTAACGCTGTTTCAGTGTTTAATACAGACCGCTACTATAAAGCTGTCACTCCTTACAACAGACTACCGCATTAACGCTGTTTTAGTGTTGAATACAGACCGCTAAAAAAAGATGTCCCTGCTTACAACAGACTACCGTATTAACGCTGTTTTAGTGTTGACTACAGACCGCTACTATAAAGCTGTCACTGCTTAAAACAGACTACCGTATTAACGCTGTTTCAGTGTTGAATACAGACCGCTACTATAAAGCTGTCACTGCTTCCAACAGACTACCGTATTAACGCTGTTTCAGTGTTGAATACAGACCGCTACTATAAAGCTGTCCCTGCTTACAACAGACTACCGTATTAACGCTGTTTCAGTGTTGAATACAGACCGCTACTATAAAGATGTCCCTGCTTACAACAGACTACCGTATTAACGCTGTTTCAGTGTTGAATACAGACCGCTACTATAAAGCTGTCACTTCTTACAACAGACTACCGTATTAACGCTGTTTCAGTGTTGAATACAGACCGCTACTATAAAGCTGTCACTGCTTACAACAGACTACCGCATTAACGCTGTGTCAGTGTTGAATACAGACTACTATAAAGCTGTCCCTGCTTACAACAGACTACCGTATTAACGCTGTTTCAGTGTCGAATACAGACCGCTAATATAAAGCTGTCACTGCTTACAACAGACTACCGTATTAACTTTGTTTCAGTGTTGAATACAGACCGCTACTATAAAGTTGTCCCTGCTTACAACAGACTACCGTATTAACTTTGTTTCAGTGTTGAATACAGACCGCTACTATAAAGCTGTCACTTCTTACAACAGACTACCGTATTAACGCTGTTTCAGTGTTGAATACAGACCGCTACTATAAAGCTGTCACTTCTTACAACAGACTACGGTATTCCCCTGAAGCCTGTTGTACAGCCGACTCACTGACTAATTCTTCTCGTACCACACGCAACCCTATGAAATCTGGCCATGTGACTTTATTACGCTTATTGTGTTTTGGTTTGTATGACGTGCAAATCTGTGGGCTATCTTTTATGAAGAGAAAATTTTTTTGGACTCGGACTGTGTCTGCAGTCTTGTGGTATCGCTGGCTCAATGTAAAAAATACAACAGAATTCATGAGAAATTGTCAATCAATCCTATTTCATAGGTTGAGCTCAACTTATGTCATATGACTCACACGTATTTCACTGATAACAGGGCATGTGAAGAGAGATATAGAGACCGGCTTTATATTTTTAGCTTTACCTTATTACTTTGAATACAATGTAAAAATACCACCGAGTTTCAGAAAAAATAAGTATTATATGCCAATGTTTAAAAAATAATATGATTTGAGCAGGTCTAGATAAATTCAAATCCCTGACCAATCTAAAAAGAGTGCATAAAACATGTTTCATGTCCATTGTTTCAAACAGGGCAAATTCCTAATTACCATAAAGAAGACATCATGCATTGATATGGAATACAACACGCACACAACCATTTGTTTGAGTGGTATGCAAAATGTGTTTTTCACGTTGCGTTGTCTCCCCTTATGAACTGTAAAGTTATTTCTGATTGGATAAGCTTTTCACCATAAACCAATGAACTGAAGTGTATGTTGTTTTCCATTGCAGTATCAACACGTTCCCCAAGTTCATGGGGGTGGAAGTTAGCTAAAATGTTGCAAAAATCTATATATTGACGCATCTGAAATATGGCAGATTCAAAGGTTGCAGAAGACAGCCCTATTTTGCATGTTGTAGTCATTGGATTTCATCACAAAAAAGGATGTCAGGTAGAATTGTTTTCCTCTTTGCGGAACAGGCGTCGTTTGACAGCCATCATGTAAATAGTGGAATCATGGATTACAAGTATGAACGTATGCATGTTTTGCCTGAAATAATGCAAAAAATTACGCACATGTCATGCTTGTTTTGTCAAAGTGCGTGTCATGTGCAAGACTTTAATTGATGATACACAGCCCAGACTACCTCTGAATCAGCTGTGAATGCCCATGCAAACCAACAAATCATTGACTGATCGAGACCAAGATTAACAGCTAGTCAGCTGAAAACAAGGTTTACGGTGAACACGAGGTATACTAAGGGCTGTCAATGGTAATATTGATTTTTTTTCATATTTTATGTAATTCAACACAGTCAACAATGGCTAGACTCTATATCATGTGTATTCTCCAGTAAGTGGGGGTGTGGCCTCTGAAGACTGAGTATTGACCAGTGTAAACCCAAACATGGACCCTACATCTTGGTAGTAGTATGATGGGCAACAATGCAGTTTACCAGGCGCAGCCGAGCTCTTCCATACAGTCAATTACCTCGCTATAGTGCTACGGCTGTCTCGCTATACCGTTACTGTGCCTCACGCTAAGGTGATTCTCGCCCTACGATCCAACACCCATTTTCGGTCTTAGGGAAACTTAAACATCTTTACGATCCAACACCCGTTTTCGGTCTTAGGGAAACTTGCACGTCTTTACAATGCAACACCCCTTTTCGATCTTAGGGAAACTTACACGTCTTTACGATCCAACACCCCTTTTCGGTCTTAGGGTTAGCTTGCTTTGGGCAAGGGTTAGCCATAAATTCTTACCTTTTCAAGCGTTAATCCAGTTAATCCGATTGGTCGGTCATGTTGAAATAAACAATGGCGGGTGTGGTTTCAAGAAAAGATTAATGGGAGAGCAGACAGTGACGTCAGACGCTTGCGCAATTCATTGTTTTCTGAATTACGCATGCTTGTTAATGGGGTGCTAATGACCCGTTAAATGAGCACTGAAAATATGTGATAGCGCCTGTGGTCCAGTGGTAGAGCGTCGGCTGATTGTCTTTAACGCATTAATTAGCCAAGCTGGTGAGCCGGCGAAAAGCGTTCAACAGCGCTAACAGCCCCAACAGCGCTAATTTGATCTGAAAAAGTGCGCCTGGTAAAGTGCGCCTGGTAAAGTGCACTACTCCCATATGATGATTGCATACCTACTAAGTTTGATTTACATAAATGTATATTATATCCTTAATAAGTAAGCAAAAACTGAAGTTTAGTTGGAGTAGCTATATAGTCTTCACATACTTAAAAGGGAAACAACACTTCAAGTTTGAAAGCATTGAAATATGGATCGGCTTTTTCTTTGCGGATTCTAAATTTGCTTATTATGGACTATAAGTTTGACTGGTTTGACTCGTGTTCGGAACTATTCTCGCTGCGCTAAACGACATCTTTCAGAGGCTCAAAGAAATAGAAGCCGTTTATCATAACAAAGGTATACAATAAGGAGCTGCAGCCAAACTGACATGTGTTTTTGTTTCTGATTAATGCATACATGATTTGAAAGGGTGAAGCTTTTGTTCAACATCATATTATGAACAATAAAAAGCTAAATGTAGTATCCCTTCAGAGCATTCAAGTAAATGAACAGGTGATAACAAACTTGATCAATAAAAATATGAAATTTGAGATAAATTATCACTTAAAATGATGATTTACCATTTAAATTGTATTTTCTGATTTGCTAGGCATTGTTTTTGTATGCAGAAATATAGGTTACCATGTGTATTTTCACGTAAACTTTGTGGGAACAGAGACCATATAATAGATTATAATCTATAAAATGGTCTCTTGTGGAAGTAGCTATCAGCTGTATAGACCATTTCGACCAATCAACTGGTGATAAAATACATATAATATAGTACATTTATATATGTATTGCTATTGCTGGATATGTTTTACGTATGTAACTATTTGATCAATCTCCGCTGAGCAAATGAATTAAAACAAAATACAAATATGGTAATAACAACTGACAAAAGTTAATACTTATAATATTGGGCAGTTACATTGTTTGAGGAATGTATCCGTCAATATCCTCATATAGAATCATTATCCCACGCAGCTGAAACTGTACAGAGAAACTTCTCAGAAGTCACATGTCTTGTAACAATGTAATGATTTAAAGTATGTATTGTGTATTGCGATATTATTATCTTGTTCGTCTCTCAACTGAGCACCTAAGAATGTTTCAGGTCAAGTCTCATTGATCCGCTGATTTGGTTGGTTGGTTGGTTTGTTGTTTTACGCTATACTCAGCAATATTGCAGCTATATGACGTCGGTCTGTAAATAATCTAGTCTGGACGAGACAATCCAGTGATTAATATCATGAGCATCGATCCACGCAATTAGGATTCTTTACTAAGAAAGTGTTGTTCCAAACATAACATTTGTTACATTTGACCTCTTTCTAAATGGCAATTGTGTGTTCATAGCTTTCGCATGAGAGACATGCCAATTTACACTCGTCAGGGGTACACAAAGTACGTGATCTAAACTAATAGTTGTCAGACTTTCATTTTTGTGGAAGCCTTGGTGGCTGAGTGGGTTATGTCGCTGACTTTGTGTGCTGGCGATTAGGTGCCTCACTCTGGCAGTGTGGGTTCGAATCCCGAATGGGACTCAATCCCCAAAAGTACTAGAATCTGTACTTTACTTAGAAAGTGTTATCCCAAATGTAACATTTGTTACATGTACATGTAATACATTCACCACATCACACAGAGCTCCAGATAAGCTTTTGGTGTTGTGGGTATTTTACCCATGCATTTTAAAATCATTGGGTATCTGTAATTCTATCTGGGTATTCAAATTTCTGTTACCCACTAGTTTTTACACATGTGGGTATTTAAGTTAAATATTTAAAAACACTATTCATCTAGTCCCTGCAAACTGGTGTTGTGTGGGTTTGAGAGCTTTATAGGACTCAAAAATACCACGATACTTCCACACGAAAGTGTGATGGCAAATGATCATGATGTGACTGTCATCGTGGAGTTTGGCAAGGTTGACGGAATGCCCGTTTATAATTTCAAAATAAGTTGCTGATTTGCCAATCGAATACGCAGGGTTACTTCACAGTATTTTGATGATACGCACAAATTTTATTTTTGTAGCGCATCTGTAATGTTCGTTGCGTATTTGATACGCTTGGATTATATTTTACTGCGTATTTCTGCATTTCTGATGCGTATTTCACGCAGATACGCAGCTTATCTGGAGCTTTGATCACACCTGTATTTATTACCCATGCTAAGATTGAATAATTACCCCAGACACAAGAAATGCCAAATGTGAGCCACTGATTGCTATATATACTTGACAGCCTCAGTGGCTGGGGTGAACATTATTGAGTTATTTTGCATAGTCTTTGTCTGGTAGGTTTGAGTGGTTCTGCCACTAATTATACCTGTAATAAAGTCATTAACTGAGTTTCAAATGAATAACAACAAATACACAGGTGTAGGGTTTGATCATGACACATGGATGACAAGAAGGGAGTAGTATTTGTTGTAGAATATGCACCCTACTGTGCTATAATAACACCATCAGTCAGTATGGACATCTTGATTACCTATTTGCTTGTGCCACAATAGCCAACACCTTGTCATCACTACACCTCGAGTTTACTAATTAATTGAATCCTCTCCTGTTGATTCTGTTGGTACATTCAACCCACCTTGTTTTGCGTGAACATGTCATGATTAACCATGTTAACAAGAGGCGGTGAGGTGAAATAGGGTTTAGTGTGTATTTGTGCGTGCATGCGTGCGTGATATTTTAATTTGAAGTTTACACGATATATGGCTCTTCCCTTCAACGGGAGATTGGTCACATGGCCCCAAAATTAATGTTCATAAGCGTAAGAACAACACAATTTGACGTTTTTCACAAGACCATGTTTTTGAAATAAAATAAACCCTGATGTACTACTTCAACATTCCTGGAAGAACACCAGGGAATTCCCTAGCACGAATATATACAGAAGCGTTCTTTCTGATTATTTAGACCCTTTAATCTTGAACTCAGCGTTTTTGGGTACATTGTGAAACGTCAGAGAGTTTAACTGCACGATCGTTCACGAATATCTTCGCTACAACCCATCCTAGTGAACAAAACAAGGAAACACACATCCAAACTATTGTAATATCGACTCGATCTGTGTCTCAGCTGACAGTGATAGTCTACAGCAATCTATGAATTTACCTTAGTGTCTATTTGACACATCCTAAATCGAAATGAACAAAATATACTGCAGTTAACTGGTGCATCAATAGGTAATTTCATCCATCAAGAGTTGCATTCTAAATTTACAACACTGATGGGTGTGAGGATTGTGAGTGTGCTACTTCCAACTGACAGATGTGATATGTCTTTGGGCAGGTGGAGTATTCCTACCCGCCACTGATACCGGGGAATGCAGTCGACAGCCATGATGTCCCTGACAAGTGGAGGCACCTGCCATCCCTGGCCCTTCCTGATGGGGCTCACAACTATGTTAAAGGTAGAACACATGATTGGATGTTTGTTTGTTTGTTTGTTGTTTAACGCCGCACTAAGCAATATTCCAGCTATCCAGCGGTCTGTAAATAATTGAGCCTTGACCAGGCAATACATTGATTGACATCATGAGCATCGATCCACGCATCTGGGATACAATGATATGCATCAACCAAGTCAGCGAGCCTGACCACCTGATCCCGTTAGTCACCTCTTACGACAAGCATAGTCACCTTTTACGTCAAGCATGGGTTACTGAAGACCTCTTCTACCCCAGATCTTCACGGGTCAGAACATTTGAACAAATATTGGCCAGATTGCAATATACCGGATACCCTCCATCATCTATATCTCAGGGGCTACAGACCTACACTAACCCCTGTATCAATTCCCATGCTTCTTGCAATCTCAAATTATCTTCCCTTCAGAGCTCCAGATAAGCTGCGTATCTGCGTAAAATATGCATCAGAAATGCAGAAATACGTGGTAAAATGATATCCAAGCGTATTAAATACGCAACGAACATTACAGATACGCTACAAAAATAAAACTTGTGTGTATCATCAAAATTTTGTGAAGTAACCCTGCGTATTCGATTGGCAAATCAGCAACTTATTTTGAAATTATAAACGGGCATTCCGTCAACCTTGCCAAACTCCACGATGACAGTTACATCATGATCATTTGCCATCACACTCTCTTGTGGAAGTATCGTGGTATTTTTGAGTCCTATAAAGCTCTCGGGACTAGAGCTAGGACTAAATGAATAGTGTTTTTAAATATTTAACTTAAATACCCACATGTGTAAAAACCAGTGGGTAACAGAAATTTGAATACCCAGATAGAATTACAGATACCCAATGATTTTAAAATGCATGGGAAAAATACCCACAACACAAAAAGCTTATCTGGAGCTCTGTCCCTTGGTTTTCATCAACCAGTTTGCTTTGCTACGCTGCTCTGTTTAACGGACCAATCAGAATGCATGTTACAAACCAGCCTCAATGTTGGGATAGCGACATCAACAACATGACGGCCAGTCAACATTGACAATCTGACTGACATGCAAAAGAAAGCCCTAAAAAATCTTTTTGGTGGAAAGAATGTCTGTATGTCCATTAAAAGTGGCAGTGGCTTTGGTTTCTGGGCAATACGAGTTACTAACCTCACCATGTCCTTCTTCCTTATAGCAACGTTTGATTGGTCGGTTAAAATGTTGATGAAAATCAAGGGCGGGTAATTCGAGATTGCGAGAACCACATCTATGGATCCAGGGGCTAGTGTAGGTTACACATTCATTAAACTATTATTCTGTTGGTAAAAAAATCATTGTATTGCTTCAGGTGAACGAAACAATGCGATAACAACCTTTGTGAATGAAAATGTGTAATTTGCGAATACACATCACTAGACATGATGATTTACCTTTTCAGTTGTATTTCTTGTCATGCTAGGCATTGTTTTATCATGTGTATATGCAGGTGTAGCAGGGTGTGGAGTCATCCCACAGATGACATCCTTACCTTGTCAGCTTGCTGACAGGGTTAACCTCTTTGGTAATGTGGACAAGGCGTCCGACCTCGGATTAGAAGGTCCGTGGTTCGAATCCCATCACGGGACTCGGAAATTTTATGGCCACTACATTGGCGCCCAACGTGGGGCTGAGCACGTTCATATTAAATTTGAGCACAATAAGCCTCAGTACCCTACTATGCGGCCCCGGACGTGCCTTCTGTTGACGGGGGAGTGTGTAGCAGGGCGTGGAGTCATCCCACAGATGACATCCTTACCTTGTCAGCTTGCTGACGGGGTTAACTTCTTTGGTCATGTGGACAAGGCGTCCGATCTCGGATCAGGTCCATGGTTCGAATCCCATCACGGGACTCGGAAATTTTATAGCCGCTACACAGGGATTAGGATAACTGTGTTTATTTTCTCATAAACTCAGCTTGAAATAGCAATCAGCAGTACCCATGTCTCCTCCCAATCTACCGGTGACTAAGTTACAACATACCCAATAACATAACGGAAATGAATTTTGATGCAATAATCAGAAAAAATAGTATCTGAAACTAGTATTTTGACAGGATATAATCTGATATCATGTTATCTTAATTGCAAGTTTTGCTATGTATATTTAAAATGATAATAACCATAACCAGAGTAGCACTTTGGTATACTCTTTTTATGTATGGAATAAATTGACCAGTCCAATGCAAAACCAATGCAAAACCAATATGTTGGCACATAACAGTCAAACTAAATCAAATTCACTTTTAACGAGTCAAAGTATGGCAGTTGTGATATGTTCAGCGGTAGAAACTAACAGTTTCAGTCCACTAGTCCTTATAATGATAACATATAGCAAAACCCTTAAAAATGGCAAATTTCTACTAGTCCTCATGATACCTTTACTATTGGGCAGTTTGGCCAGTACTACAGGACTAGTGCCAATTTCTAGCCCTGATTATATGTGTCCATTCTCTGTCAACTGAAGTTCGTTTCAAGGTGTCAGTGGTGGTAATATGTTCGTGGTTGCTGTGACTATTGTGAGTTGATGCTGTCAAGGTATGTGGTAAAGTGGACCCTAGGGAACAGGGTAAACGGAAGTAAGTATCGGAGGGACACACAATTTGGCCAAAATTTATGTAAGCATTGAATGAAATATTGAATTAGATTATTAAAATAGGTCCAGGTATACAATGAACAACTTTCGTCATTACCAGATAGTGTAACAACAGGATTAACATGAGAAGGCCAATATGGATTTGTTATTCTATTGATCATCGCGAGAAGATGTAGGTAGGTTGTGGTCCGGCCTATGTTCCAGACATACCATTTTGATACAGATTTCAAGGATCAAGTTATGCATTGGCTTATCTATGAGATCGGCGTATCTACGATCATATACAGTAATGCTATGCATAGACATCTTTAGTCCATCCAAAATATAACTCCATAATTTCAGCTTAGGTCGGCAAGGGTGGAAACAGATAACTGGTTGAGCAGTTGAGTTTTTACTTGACGGTTTCTTTTTTAATTGGTTTATTACATTTTTCATTGGGTAACCAATATCTTTTTCCCTCATCTATTCATCTCTCTTTGGGTTTTTTCCCAAAGATTTTTAAAAAAATGAAATAATGTTTCAGATATAACGGCTCTAAATATAGGCAGATGATAGGATTGACCCGGAAAGTAAATTAGCTCGTAATTGTGTTTCTGATATTAGCTCCATTGTACGCATGCTGAAAAAGCTTCATTAGGTATTTACGCGTGCTGTTGTTATACATTTGAGTTTTTCATTTAGTACATGCATTTCTGTACACAAGTTAGTACAAAGTAATTGGGTTTTGAGGGGGTATTTGACACTAATACGCAGCTTATCTGTAGCTCGGCTATAATAGTTCAGGGGAAACTATACATTATTGCATTACGCATGGGGGTAGAGCAAACTTTATTTTGTTAATTCATTATTCAACTGACTCAGTTGTCTTTCTTTACTTACTTAACTTTTTTTGTGATTCCTTTCAGATACAGTATTTTTCCACCTTCCTTCACAAGATGGTGGACGCAAGACAGTGTACTGTGTGTCCTGCTACAGACAGATGGATGCCAAGGTAGGCCTGTACTTCTTGTGTTGATAAGGACTGTACTAGTTCGTCTGGGATCTCTGTGGGATAGGTCCCTTGCCACGGGGAGAATAGACCGCTGTGGAGATGGTGGGCAGAATAGATCGCTGTTGGTATGGTGGGTAGATTATATCGATTAGGGGAGAGTATGTAAAGAATAGATCCCTGTGGAGATGACGTAAAGAATAGATCCCTGTGGAGATGAAGGAAAAAATAGATCCCTGTGAAGATGACGTAAAGAATAGATCCCTGTGGAGATGATGTAAAGAATAGATCCCTGTGAAGATGACGTAAAGAATAGATCCCTGTGGAGATGACGTAAAGAATAGATCCCTGTGGAGATGAAGGAAAGAATAGATGCCTGTGAAGATGATGTAAAGAATAGATCCCTGTGGAGATGACGTAAAGAATAGATCCCTGTGAAGATGACGTAAAGAATAGATCCCTTTGGAGATAACGTAAAGAATAGATCCCTGTGGAGATGAAGGAAAGAATAGATGCCTGTGAAGATGACGTAAAGAATAGATCGCTGTGAAGATGACGTAAAGAATAGATCCCTTTGAAGATGACGTAAAGAATAGATCCCTGTGGAGATGACGTAAAGAATAGATCCCTGTGAAGATGACGTAAAGAATAGATCCCTGTGAAGATGACATAAAGAATAGATCCCTGTGAAGATGACGTAAAGAATAGATCCCTGTGAAGATGACATAAAGAATAGATCCCAGTGAAGATGATGTAAAGAATAGATCCCTGTGAAGATGACGTAAAGAATAGATCCCTGTGGAGATGACATAAAGAATAGATCCCTGTGAAGATGATGTAAAGAATAGATCCCTGTGGAGATGATGTAAAGAATAGATCCCTGTGAAGATGACATAAAGAATAGATCCCTGTGGAGATGATGTAAAGAATAGATCCCTGTGAAGATGACGTAAAGAATAGCTCCCCGTGGAGATGACGTAAAGAATAGATCCCTGTGGAGATGACGTAAAGAATAGATCCCTGTGGAGATGATGTAAAGAATAGATCCCTGTGGAGATGACGTAAAGAATAGATCCCTGTGGAGATGATGTAAAGAATAGATCCCTGTGGAGATGACATAAAGAATAGATCCCTGTGGAGATAATGTAAAGAATAGATCCCTGTGGAGATGATGTAAAGAATAGATCCCTGTGGAGATGATGTAAAGAATAGATCCCTGTGAAGATGATGTAAAGAATAGATCCCTGTGAAGATGAAGGAAAGAATAGATCCCTGTGAAGATGAACGAAAGAATAGATCCCTGTGGAGATGAAGGAAAGAATACATCCCTGTGAAGATGAAGGAAAGAATAGATGCCTGTGAAGATGATGTAAAGAATAGATCCCTGTGGAGATGAAGGAAAGAATAGATCCCTGTGGAGATGAAGGAAAGAATAGATGCCTGTGAAGATGATGTAAAGAATAGATCCCTGTGGAGATGAAGGAAAGAATAGATCCCTGTGGAGATGATGTAAAGAATAGATCCCTGTGGAGATGATGTAAAGAATAGATCCCTGTGGAGATGATGTAAAGAATAGATGCCTGTTAAGATGAAGGAAAGAATAGATCCCTGTGGAGATGAAGGAAAGAATAGATCCCTGTGGAGATGATGTAAAGAATAGATCCCTGTGGAGATGATGTAAAGAATAGATCCCTGTGGAGATGATGTAAAGAATAGATCCCTGTGAAGATGATGTAAAGAATAGATCCCTGTGAAGATGAAGGAAAGAATAGATCCCTGTGGAGATGAAGGAAAGAATAGATTGCTGTGGAGTCGTTGGGTAGAATAGATCGCTGTTGGTATGATGGTTAGATTATATCTATTAGGGGAGAGTGCGTAGAATAGATCCCTGTGGAGATGACATAAAGAATAGATCCCTGTGGAGAAAACGTAAAGAATAGATCCCTGTAAAGATGAGGAAAAGAATAGATTGCTGTGGAGATTGTGGGCAGAGTAGATCGCTGTGGAGTTGATTGGTAGATTATATCTATTAGGGGAGAGTACGTAGAATAGATCGTTGTGGAGATGCAGGTTAGAATAGATCCCTGTGAAGATGAAGGAAAGAATAGATCTCTATGGAGATTTTGGATAGAATAGACTCTGGTGGTTAAAATTAAAACAAGGACCCCTTGACTTACATGTATATATTCGCCCACTGACAAGTGTGTTTGTATTGTGTTTGTACCTGCTGTTGTTGATCTGTACAGGACCTGATCAACAGGACAGCGGATGTGACTCGCAGCACGGTCCAGAAGAGTGTGTGTGTCCTCAGCAGGCTGGTAGGTAGTGCTGGTGATCTACTTGTTCCACTTGAGTTTGGAGGTACACACTAGTGTTAACATTGATGCCTCTATTAACGCAAATGAATATTAAAAAAAATATGTCAAAACAATGAAAATAATAACCTCCCTGTGGGCTGATTAAGGCAATGCAATATTCCATCTGTTTGTGTTTGTTCCTAGCCTCTGTATGGACTGACCAAGGCAATGCAATATTCCATGTGTTGTGTTTGTTCGTAGCCTCTGTATGGACTGATCAAGGCAATGTAATCTCCATCTGTTTGTGTTTGTTTGTAGCCTCTGTATGGACTGATCAAGGCAATGTAATCTCCATCTGTTTGTGTTTGTTCGTAGCCTCTGTATGGACTGATCAAGGCAATGTAATATTCCATGTGTTGTGTTTGTTTGTAGCCTCTGTATGGACTGATCAAGGCAATGTAATCTCCATCTGTTTGTGTTTGTTCGTAGCCTCTGTATGGACTGATCAAGGCAATGTAATATTCCATGTGTTGTGTTTGTTCGTAGCCTCTGTATGGACTGATCAAGGCAATGCAATATTCCATGTGTTGTGTTTGTTCATAGCCTCTGTATGGACTGATCAAGGCAATGTAATATTCCATGTGATGTGTTTGTTCGTAGCCTCTGTATGAACTGATCAAGGTAAAGCAATATTCCATGTGTTGTGTTTGTTCATAGCCTCTGTATGGACTGATCAAGGCAATGCAATATTCCATCTGTTTGTGTTTGTTCGTAGCCTCTGTATGGACTGATCAAGGCAATGTAATATTCCATCTGTTTGTGTTTGTTCATAGCCTCTGTATGAACTGATCAAGGCAATGTAATATTCCATCTGTTTGTGTTTGTTCGTAGCCTCTGTATGGACTGATCAAGGCAATACAATATTCCATGTGTTGTGTTTGTTCATAGCCTCTGTATGAACTGATCGAGGTAAAGCAATATTCCATGTGATGTGTTTGTTCATAGCCTCTGTATGAACTGATCAAGGCAATGTAATATTCCATCTGTTTGTGTTTGTTCATAGCTTCTGTATGGACTGATCAAGGCAATGCAATATTCCATGTGTTGTGTTTGTTCGTAGCCTCTGTATGGACTGACCAAGGCAATGCAATATTCCATCTGTTGTGTTTGTTCATAGCCTCTGTATGGACTGACCAAGGCAATGTAATCTCCATCTGTTTATGTTTGTTCATAGCCTCTGCATGGACTGATCATGGCAATGCAATATTCCATGTGATGTGTTTGTTCATAGCCTCTGTATGGACTGATCAAGGCAATGTAATATTCCATCTGTTGTGTTTGTTCATAGCCTCTGTATGGACTGACCAAGGCAATGCAATATTCCATCTGTTGTGTTTGTTCATAGCCTCTGTATGGACTGACCAAGGCAATGCAATATTCCATGTGTTGTGTTTGTTCATAGCCTCTGTATGAACTGATCAAGGCAATGCAATATTCCATCTGTTTGTGTTTGTTCGTAGCCTCTGTATGGACTGATCAAGGCAATGCAATATTCCATCTGTTTGTGTTTGTTCCTAGCCTCTTTATGGACTGACCAAGGCAATGTAATCTCCATCTGTTTGTGTTTGTTCGTAGCCTCTGTATGGACTGATCAAGGCAATGCAATATTCCATCTGTTTGTGTTTGTTCGTAGCCTCTGTATGGACTGACCAAGGCAATGTAATCTCCATCTGTTTATGTTTGTTCATAGCCTCTGTATGGACTGATCAAGGCCAAGCTGGAGCTGATTACACATGCCTACTTCGATGAGCGGGACTTCAGCAAGGTGGAGCTGCTACAGCAGACCTTCAACAACCTCAGCCAGTCCATGACCGACAGCTTGCTGGATGGGTCACAGGTCTTTCTGGGTAAGTACTGTCCTTATATGCTTGCATCTAGGAGCCACTGTTTCCTATGCTGAATTGCGTTCTTTAGGTGGGTTTGGATCCTGGGTAGCCCGGATCTTGTTTCCAGGTTTGTCACCCAAGGTCAGCTGTATGGTTCAACCTTCAAAGATCTGCATTACCTTGGACCTTCTTTCAGCATCCAGCTGACACATTGTAATGTAACTAAAATAATGTTAAAAGCCACTCACTCACTCCCTCCCTCCATTTCACAAAACACCTCCATGTCATTTCCTAGAAGGAGGCCAATCCAAATCCATTTTTTTGGCTAAGAAAATGTAATCCCACATATGTTTCATATGATCCCTGTGGATCAAACCTTTGGCAATGGGAGCCATGCCAATTTACAGAGGGGTATATGATCTGTTTGTGATCTGGACTAACAGTTGTCAGACTTTCAGTTTGTTGAAGCCCCGTGGCTGTGTGGGTTAGGTCGCCGACTTTGTGTGCTGGTGATTAGGTGCCTCACTCAGTGTCAGTTCGAATCCTGTCTGGGTCTCCTCCCAAAATAATACTAGAATTTGTACTTTATTAAGAGTAATTCCAAATATAACATATGTTACATTTTTGTTTCAAACAAGTATTTTGGTGACTTACCTTTGTTTTTGTTGGTAATACTTTCAGGCCTGTCTGCTAGGGATGTGGTGATGAAGTTCAAGCACAAGATTGTCGTACTCTTCAAGCTGCTGCTGCTGGAGAGGAAGGTTTGTTTCTTTGTTTCTTTATCGTTTAACGCCGCACTCTGCAATTTTTCAGCTATATGACGCTGGCCTGTAAATATTTGAGCCCGGACCAGACAATCCAGGGATTGACATCATGAGCATCGATCTATATGCTTGGAATATGATGACATGCATCAACCAAGTCACCGAGTCTGCCCACCCAATCCCGTTAGTCGCCTCTTTCAACAAGCATAATTGCCTTTTACGACAAGAATGGGTTGATGAAGACCTATTCTACTCCTAATCTTGATGGGTCTTGAGAGAAAGGTAGAACAGCTGATATATTGTAGTTTGATTACACCACAGCCAGTAAACAAATCCCTTACGATACCCCTCTGCATTATGATCTGAGGAAACCGCCTCCGTGGTCTAGTGGTAGAGCGTCCGCCCTCAGAGCGGAGGGTCCTGGGGTCAGTCCCAGGTCGTGTCATACCAAAATATGTTAAAAGATGGTACTTGTTGTTACCCTGCCTCGATTGACATTAAGGGGCTAAAACAAGGACTGGTCGGCTCGAAGTCAGTACACTGTGTCTGAGTGGGGTATTCATGTTAAGCTATTGCATGGTGTCTCTGTGGGTTAGCACAATGAAATTGGCCTTTGTCCAGATTCGCACGCACGCATGCACGCACGCATGCACGCACGCACACACTTTGGTTAATTTCATTGATATTTTATTGGTATTTTGGTTAATAATGTTGCTATCACGTTGGTATTTCAGATGTAGTTCTGCTAACATCTTAGTTTATGTGCTAAATAGTGTCCCTTCAACGCTTAATATGTTCTGTTTCAGATTCTGTTCTTTGGCTCACCAGTAGAGAATCTAAGCGGAACTCTGCTGTCTGTTTTGGCTCTCTTTCCAAGTAAGTCACAAGTGGATTAACAGAAAGAAATGCTTTGTACGAGGGGCGTTCAATAATTTTTGCAACTCCAATATAAGACCAAGTCGCAGAATATCTTTTGCACTTTTTTTTTCAATATAATCTTTAGTCACCTCAATACACTTTTTCCATTTATCCTTCAAGCTTTTAATATCACTTTTATAGAAATCTGCAGATGGGCCCTCTAACCACGCCTCTGTGGCAGCCTTTATGTCCTTGTCATCCTGGAAGCGTCTTCCACGTAGGGCAGATTTCATTTGGGCTGTAGGGTGGGTGATTTAACTGTACAGCCCGGACTTAGCCCCCAGTGACTATTTCCTGTTCCGGCAAATGAAATCTGCCCTACGTGGAAGACGCTTCCATAAAGGCTGCCATAGAGGTGTGGTTAGAGGGCCAATCTGCAGATTTCTATAAAAGTGGTATTAAAAGCTCGAATTGTTGAAAGACAAATGGAATAAGTGTATTGAGGTGAATGGAGATGATACTGAAAAATAAAAGTGCAAAAGATATTCTGCGACTTTGTCTTATATTGAAGTTGCAAAACTTATTGAACGCCCCTCGTATCATTTGCCTGTGTTTGTTTGTTTGTTAGCCATAGTCAGCAGTATTCCTGTAAGAGATAGCAGTCAGTAAATAATCCAGTCTTGGCCAGGCAGTCATTGATAGTATAAGCCTTCCCACACCGTCAGGGCCATCTGGTCTAATAGTTATCCTAACTTTGAATTCCTGTGAGGTTAGTCAGAAATAACTGACCACAGTCACTGTGATATGGTTGGAACATTACTAAAAGCAGTGTAAAACACTCACGAACGAAGGAACGAAAGCAACAACGAACGAACGACAAATAATTTAGGATATTTGTTTTGAGGCGACATTGGTTGTGGAACCACATGCTCCTGTGCAAAGTGCTGGTCAAAACGCAAGCAGAATTGGGTAAAGTTGGTCGTGGAGAGTTGTTGGATGGGAGACCTGAGAGTTTCTAGGGAAAGTGACTTTTAATATTTAAAATATGCCTCTGTTCACCCAGCAGTGAATGGGTACCCAGTAGTATGAGATGGTATTGTGACTGTTAACCTTCTAGCCCCTCACAGCCAGCTTTGAGCACGCTTTACCAGGTGGATTATCACATTACTAATATCCATTTATTATTTTATGTTAATTATTATTTTTTACATGTTTATCAAAGACATTTTATAGAATCAGGGCACCTGTTTCTTTGGCATGAAATTTGTCCTCATTTTTAACATCTGCTTTCAGATATGGTGGAGTTTGGCTTAGATGAGTCGGTAATGAAACAACTTAGGGAACTGTCGCCCACATTAGGCATGGCATCCTTAGACAGTGAGGGGGATGAGAACGAGTCGTTTCTGGAGGTCAGGTACTCTTCTGAGAAGGATGTTAAGAATATGTCTGATATTACGATGCACATGAGGAATGAACCGATTAAACGCAGTAACAGTGTCGAGCCTCAGTCACCAACTATACCAAGAGATGGTAGTTTAGTCATGTCAGGGATTGCGTATAATAATGACAAGGACATGCAGGACTCTTTTCATGGGCAAGTGCAATCGTTGGATGGACAGAGGTCTAAGGCTTTGAAAAACTCTGAAAACGAACAGCTCAAAATGGCTGTCGGACGTGATCTGGTAAAGAGCTCAAAACCAACACGATGCTCCTCTGTTGACGAAGATCCAAAAGTTCACGACCATGCCAAAGTGCACGACCTCTCCAAAGTACATGACCTTTCCAAGTATAAGGGTGATGGTGGAGGATCATCAAAAGATGATCCAAGTGCTTCATGTGATATTCAAGACTGTTTTCAAGATGAAGAAAATTTTACTGCATTTGGAAGCCCGAAAGATAAGGGTGCGATTGTGTATAGCAAGGAGGACAGCCCCCTACAGCACATGCCAAGCATAACTCAGATAGAGGCTGTACAGACTGGAATAACAATGCCAAACAGTAGCGAGAAAATGGAGGAATACTCACGCGAGGTTGAACTGGCAAGTAGCCCTGAAAGCCCTCAGCCTGACCTGAGGAGAGACTTGCCACTTTCTCTGGAGGACAAGGAGACTGTGCTTTCTCTCAGGAAGACAGACAGCTTTGAGGACCTAGATTCTCCAGAAAGTATCAGTAGAATAGACAGGGAAGATTGTTTCTCCTGGGAAGATGACCGCGTTCTGTTGTCCATCGAGCATGAACCAGAAATCAAAGATGGCATAGATTCCAAGGGAGATAACTCTGCTAATGTTGGTTCTGCATCTGCCGCTGGGCCTATCCTGCAGACGGACGGTAGTTTTGATGAAAAGAGTTCTGTGTCGGAGAGTGATAAGGGAAGTGTTTCCTCTGAGAAAAGTGTAACCCGGCGGTCTGGTCGCCATGGTAGCCCAGGAGTGAAGGCTGCCGCTCTGAAACATAAACTGACTGCTGCTTTTGGGAATTTACACATTAAAGGAAAAGGGAAGACTACTGGTCAGATTGAGATGAAACCGATGTCGAGAGAAGAGTCTTTGATTCAGCAGGATGACTATGGTTTTCCTCTTGCTGTTTTCACAAAGGTAACTGTCAGATTCACCCCTTCATCACTCCTTTAATTATGCTATGCCCAAGCCAAAACGAGCCCCAATCAGACCTTGTCCTTTATTCAGGCCTTTTTCACTGGGTACAGCGTTGTCCTGATAAACTTAGCACCACTCGCTCCACATGGGACCCAGAATGACCCTGTGCCTAGTGAAATTGACAAATAAAGGACAGGTTCTGATAAGGGGATGTCTTAACCCATGTCATGAGCATAACTTAGTAAGTGAAGAAAATGTTACAATTCATTATCAAAGTGGGGCGGTTGGGTAGCCTAGTGGTTAAAGCGTTCGCTCGTCACGCCAAAGACCCGGGTTCAGTTCCCAACATGGGTACAATGTGTGAAGCCCATTTCTGGTGTCCCCCGCCGTGATATTGCTTGAATATTGCTAAAAGCGGCGTAAAATCAAACTCACTCATTATCAAAGTAATTAGATGTGTTCATATGAACGAGAATTAAGATGTAGATAAAAACAGTACAAACATAGGGTATCCTAATTCTTGGGTCACAAACTTGCTCATACTTAGATGTATTCTTGACGTCCGAAAAAAACAGACTTTATGGCTCATTTACCCATACTTATATATTTAGTATCATGCCAGAAGTCCAAAATTTGGAAGTGTAAGAAGGGATAAATGGCTAGGTATCAGCCATTTCAACATGTCTGATCATTTTCACCTAAGGGGAGTACAATTGAGGCTCTTCAAATGAACCGGGATTTATTAGGTTATCCAGGATTCTAAACTAAGTAGCCCTGGGTCTAGATCGTGAAATGATCTTAGCCAAGATAAATCTTAACTTAAGTTCAAAGATAAGATAGATAGATTTTCAAAACTATTGTACACCTGTCACAGTTCGTACAGAGCTATAATACCTATCGTAACTCTGACACTCATTTGTGTTTATTATTTTAAAATCAGTCCAATAATTGCAAAATTCAAAGATTATTATGGTGAAAATGTCTATTGTATATTGATTAGTAAATTTCATTCAAATAAACTTTTTCTGCAAAAATATATTGGAAAGTGAATTTTGGACAATGTTCAAAATATGCTGCCATACTCTTTATACAAATATACTCAAGAAATATTTGATGATATGTATTGCCTTGTTAAATCAATAAATACTACACTGTATTGTTAAAATGCAATTGTTAGAACTGCTTGTCCCACACCATTTAAGATGTAATAACCGATGAGAAACGCTTATGGTTTTGCACTTAGTCACATGTAGACTGATAGAATTTTATAAAATGCTAAAATAAGACTTTAAACCATTGACACAAATGCGATCCAGAAAATATAACAGCTCTATACGAAAACTAACATTGAGCAAGGTCTCGCCAGGGGAATACAAAGGGAAACCACTCTCAACTAGAGAATGTACTAAGATTTAGCTGCTCCTGAGTTATCAATAAGGTCACGGTCATTACTATAGCCTGCCGACACCTTCTCCAAATTAGCGAAAAAGGTATGTTGTTTAACACTTCTTCAGCATGGATTCAGCTAGAAAGATATTGTAAGCTATCAACTCCATAGTTATGGGATCGCTGTTGTGATTAAGAACATTTCTGACGTGAATTTTTTTATGCGTTCTTTGTGTTTTCGACGTGTCAGTTTGAATCAAACAGTTTAGCTAAATGAAATGTCAATGTTTGAACGTAAAGCTGATTATTTGTTTGAAAAATAGTATTTCTTCATCTCTGATGAAGATGAAATATACTTTCGACAGGTATGGGGCTATCTTATATTTATGGCAATCTTAGGATATCTTAATGCTACGTAGGTTTTGAAAATAGACTTCAATAGTCTACGATTTCCCACGATAATTTTAGGGCTACGATAGTTTCGATAATCTAGGCCCTGGCAGACAAGTTAGGAAAAGATCATATTTATATTTGTCCTGACTCATACACTAAAAGCACCCAGCCGCCCCCTCTTCCATAGGATACATGTTTCGGCTGTTAAGTAGGGAAGTGACAGAATGACGAATACACCGGCTTAGTCAGGTGGTTCCTGGTGCGCCTTGGCGGCTCAGGTGTGCGTTCAGGGGAGATTTGTTACTGTTCTCTGTGAACACAGCACAGGAAGTTTCCACTACATTCCGAAAATGAGATGAGATAAGCCTTTTAGTGTGAGTTTGGATAAGTATCAATGATATTTTACTCTTAAAGATACTTACTAAATATTAAAACCTCTTCCTATTTATTGGTTCTGTTATCAGTGAAATATGAGTTATCTCTGCAAAGCCATCCCTCCCATAGTATTAGTTGTACATACTAGGGCCGTTACGATTCACTCGCGTATTCGGTGAATCGAACAGTATCCATTCATGGATTGAATTGTAGCCACTAGAATCAAATATTTATGAACATGCAATCATGTGCGTTTATATACCCTGTACCTAAAAACATCCATAAGAAGATATGATATGCATAGATTTGTTCAAAGACAACACTCTTATAATATTTCATTTGACAGTATTGTGGTCACTGGTCATTGTAGCATTTGAGCAGATACTGGTACCTGGACAAGTGCAGTACATAAATGTATAATATATATAATTAACAAACCATGTCAAATATTTTATGTTGTTAATGTTTCACTGAATATAACAAATAATACATCAACTGCTGACTTGTTATTGTATTCGTGAATTGATATTCGTATTCATTACCCTATATCTGTGATATGAATCGTATTAGCCTCATAGTGTCTTCATTTCAGCCCTAGTACATATATTAACATGAGTTGGACAACTTAATATTCCAATTTGGGAATTTATAAAGACATTTGCTGCAGACTGGGGGCAAATATCAGCCTCTGAGCAGGTCCATATGAAACCTGGTGCAGGAGGACAATGACTGTATCTTATAATGGCTGACACTAAAATCTCATGAAAATGTTGCTACTGGCCAAGTTTGGGCTGGTAGATTCAATTATTGGCACAGTATGTCCATGTGTTTTATACTGTTTGTCCATGCATGATTTCAGGGCAGTGTCTGCCACCCGTACTTGAGTCTGCAATATCATGACATTCTGCAGGACGTCAACATCAGAAGCTTCTTGATTGGCGCCACCAACATTCTGTTTAAACAGAGGAGATCCCTGATGGACGTCATTGTAGAGGTGAGTCTTCATCTTGATTGGGGCCACCATTGTACTGTTAAAACAGGAGATCCCTGATGGACGTCATTGTAGAGGTGAGTCTTCATCTTGATTGGGGCCACCATTGTACTGTTAAAACAGGAGATCCCTGATAGACGTCATTGTAGAGGTGAGTCTTCATCTTGATTGGAGGCACCATTGTACTGTTTAAGCAGATCCCTGTAGACGTCATTGTAGAGGTGAGTCTTCATCTTGATTAGGGCCATCAGTGTTCTGTTCAAACAGAGGAGATCCGTCATTATCGGGATAGATGTCATCCTTTGACCCAAAAATCCTTGGGCTGTCTGCCGCTGTCTGGCGATGATAAACTGTGTTTCATGTGGCAGATTGGCGAAGGCAAAGTGGAAATCCTGGACAAGGAGCTGCAGCGGTACCTACACCTCACAACAGCCGACCTCCGCTTTGCCGACTACCTCGTCAAGATGGTTGTGGAGGACAAGAATGACATCTACCTGGACGGGACAGGTAGGGAGCATGCATTGCAGTTGCTCTGCATTCTGTTTGTCATCATGACAGCCTTTAAGAGATAAGACAAAATTATGTTTGGGTATGTCATTTCAAATCTATTTCACCAGCTTTGTTTCTCCGTCACCCCTGAATAGATTTGCGGTGTAGTCGCTATTTTTAGCACCTGGTTCAAGCGATATAGAAACCAGCAACAATCAGTTCTTGTTTTACTGGTGGCCCAGCCGTATGAGATGCATCAAGTCGCTATGCAGGGTTGTGCCTCTTGGGCATGCCAAAAAACCTACGATTGTGGTAGGGCAGTAACGATTCACCGATACCTACGATACATCATTTCTTAGTTACAGACTTGTATCGTCAGTTTGTGAGATCGCTATGTGCTATTAATAGAACAGAAATCAATGGCGTAATGGCAGAAGTAGCATTGCAACACCTGTATCCATGGCAGAACATGAGGATGTGGTGGTAATAGAGGACACGCCCGCTACATATGGTCTTCAGTTTGGTTTTGAAAAGTCCTCAAATAGAAAATAGGTTGTATGCAGAGATTTTAGAGTTGTATTTCAGTAATTTCATCGTTTCTTACTATTTGATGTGGGGTATCATGATGCCAGTGGTATCGTCGGTCTGTTTTGTGATGTGTATCATTTCGCGTGAAATGTATCATTTCGCGAGATGTCAGGCAGCACTCACCTCTAGGTTGTGTTTTCGAATCCCAGTTTGCCCCGTTCATGTTTCTAGGTTTGTCAGCACCATACCCATGCTGGTGGGTTTCACCGAAGTGGTAAACTTCTGAGACTTGCATCACTTCGGGCTTTCCTCCCACATTAAGCTGACACGCCCTGATATAACTGTAATACTGTTAAAAGGAGCATCAGTCCAAACTCATTTATTTGACTACCATGAGTAATAAACACCCTGATATCATTAACTGACTACAAAGAGACTTGCATCAATGTTACACCTCAATGTGGTCATTTGATCATCTTCCCCAGGCAAGGGAGTTAACTGACTGTAAAAGTCCAGTTTCTATTGTGGCTATTATGAGTTATGTCCCTTCTATGCCCCTCCTATTGACCAATCAGATTCTACCTCTCATATAACTTGCATTTGCTTCAAACAAAATGGCAGCACCCAGTGAAGGCGATCTGATTGATGATAAGGATATGTATTGTAATAAAACGGGTCTTACCTCATGAAGTGCATCAAATCAATTGTGCACCTTGATTAAAAACTTGAAAAGATCAGGAAAATGTCTGTCAACGCCAAGTTGACGGTACACATAATTTGAAAATTCTGCAGTCGAGGGAAATCTTCATGTTTAAATCCATGTGTTTACGAAACGGTTGTCCATTTTGTTACATGATATTGATTGGACTATGCATGGACTTGTTATTCCAGCCAAAATATAACTCCACAATTGCAGCCAAGTTCGGCAAAAGTGGACTTTTATAGTCAGTTGACTCCAATGGCTGGGGAAGATGTCATATGATGGGAGAGGAGTGTAGTGTGTTGAAACTGTGAAGAATTGATGATGATCATATCAAATATATCACTATTAGACCCATGAAGATCTGGGGTAGAATAGGTCTTCAGCAACCCATGCTTGCCGTAAAAGGCACCAATGCTTGTCATAAGAGGCGACTAACGGGATCGGGTGGTCAGACTCGCTGACTTGGTTGATGCTTGTCACTGTATCTCAATTGCATGGATCAATGCTCATGATGTCAATCACTGGATTGTCTGGTCCAGACTCGATTATTTACAGACCGCCATCATATAGCTGGAATATTGCTGAGTGCAGCGTTAAACAACAACAAAACAAATATCACTATCAATATTAGTACCTCTTCAACATGTTTTGCCTGAGGAATATAGATCTGCAACCATGCTAATCGCCAGTAATGTTGGTAAGGGTGTTAATGGCAATATGCAGCAGCAGGTCCTTAATTGGTGTTGTTCGGTCGAGCTCTGAGTATTACTTTCTGATCCTAGTAGCTAGAGGCTTAAGATTATCTTTGTACAGCATTCGAGAAAATTTGTGAGTAAAGATGAATATTGATAGATATTTGTGACCTGATTTGATCAGGTTCAAGTGGTTCAGGATACATATATTTGGAAGGAGAGTTTGGGGCATTAAGCATGTTTGATCAAATGTGGATGTGGCCCATTTCTTCTAGTTACAACTAAAGGTTGTTTTTGCAAGCATTTTCATGAGGCTTATGTTTTTAGACCCCTGGAAGAAGTTTAGAACAGGTCATTGATACAGAGATGATGCTCTTTTGGACATGGGCCCACTCCCCCCTCTTCCCCACTCTGTAGGTCCACACATTCCTAGCAGTCCGATTGAAGAAGCACCCAATCTTAACCCATCTCCCTGAGGTAAGCGTGTCCACTTGCCTATATAAAAGCCTAGTTTCAAACCCTTCCACATCAAGGCAACTAATTTTGGCTCGACCCTGGCAACACCTCGCCTAGATCAGGAGTTGTGCCCCTTGCAATGAAAAAGTCATATCCAATCAGGTCGCTGTCCTTATCTTGTATAGCTTCACAAAGATGGCGACTACCATAGGCGACGATTTAGTTGATCAGGTAACAAAAAACATTGACGGTTTCATCCCTGACACAAAAACATAGGAGGGGTTAAAAAAAAGAAGACATATTCTTGTCAACAAAGACAGGCAGCAGTAAATCACTTTCATACGAAAGTGTACAGTGATGGATGTTGATTTTGTTAAAGGTTCTCTGATTGGACTATTGATATGTGACATAGTTACAGGAAAGTGGGCTTGATGTGGCAAGGGTAGAAACAAGTGTTCGATGAAAAAAAGGCGAGTGGCCGTTCTTGCCTCGGGAAGATGTCCCTAACCTTGCCGTGTCTATGTTTAACTGGGCCATTACAATTAGTTGGAACATTTCCAATATACAATACATATCTTCATGCACACTTAATAAGTCTTCTGCATGTGTCTTCCGAGGCAGAATAGGACCCCAGTATCCCATGCTTGTCTCCCTGTGGGGATTCCATGACAGAATAGGTCCCCAGTATCCCATGCTTGTCTCTGTGGGATTCCAGGGCAGAATAGAACCCCACTACCCCATGCTTGTCTCCGTGGGATTCCAAGGAAGAATGGGTCCCCAGTACCCCATGCTTGTCTCCCTGTGGGATTCCAAGGAAGAATGGGTCCCCAGTACCCCATGCTTGTCTCCCTGTGGGATTCCAGGGAAGAATGGGTCCCCAGTACCCCATGCTTGTCTCCCTGTGGGGATTTCATGACAGAATAGGTCCCCAGTATCCCATGCTTGTCTCCCAGTGGGATTCCAGGGCAGAATAGAACCCCAGTACCCCATGCTTGTCTCCCTGTGGGATTCCAAGGAAGAATGGGTCCCCAGTACCCCATGCTTGTCTCCCTGTGGGATTCCAGGGAAGAATGGGTCCCCAGTACCCCATGCTTGTCTCCCTGTGGGATTCCAGGGCAGAATAGAACCCCAGTACCCCATGCTTGTCTCTCTGTAGGGATTAGGTGGTTATAATGTGTGAACTGTCTGGCTGTGTGTCATTGTGCCTTAAACTAAAGACATGGTTGGTTGGTTGGTTGTTTTTTGTTGTTTTACTCCGCGCTCAGCAATGTTCCAGCTATAGACAATCCAGTGATTGATATCATGAGCATCGATCCACGCAACTGGGATACGATGACATGCTTCAACCAAGTCAGCGAGCCTGACCACCCGATCCCGTTAGTCGCCTCTTACGACAAGCAAAGTCGCCTTTTACGGCAAGCATGGGTTGCTGAAGACCTATTCTACCCCGGACCTTCACGGGACTAAAGACATGAATTGATGCTCTTGCTCTCAACCACTTGTCTGCCTGAACCAAACTTGATGTGGCCGTAATATCTCTGACTGCAGTAAAACAACATTCACTCACTAACTTACTAAGTTCTAACAGATGGTGGATATACATGTATACCTTACAAGCATTGTTTTTCTTTTCTTTATTTATTTTTTGGGCATTTACAGAAGGATATTTAAACTTATTGTAACATGCTTATTACAGTTGGATATTTAGTTAACTTTGATGCAGTGGAAAAATGTATGTATTTGCTGACACTAACGGCTGGTGGCGTGTCTATTCAATTGCACAAAAACTCTATGATGTGCTTGCTAAATTTTTAGTCAGTCAGCTTCACTCACTCACTCACTCACTCACTCACTCACTCACTCACTCACTCACTCACTCACTCACTCACTCACTCACTCACTCACTCGGTAACTCTTAGCAGCTCACTCACTTATTGAATCCCTCAATTTACATTTTTTATGCTGGCTCAACACTGACTCCCCAACACCAATACACAGTTGATCCTTGTAGACACATCCACATGTCAAGCCAAAGAGTCCCCTCTGGTTGCCACACCCTGTCCACCCCACCCTGTCTGCCTACCCCATGTGCACTGTTGTTGATCCTTATTGGCTATGTGATAGTCTCCTTTCCAGAGTGGGAGGGTGGAGACGAGTGGATCCGTGCTCAGTTCCGCCTTTACCTGCAGTCTCTGCTGGCTTCAGTCATCAATGAAGGTGAGTGTCGGGGAAACAGGGGAAATGTATGTTGGAGATTTAGAGGGGACTGATATTAAATAGCTACGCGATAAATAAAAAATGAAGAACAAGGCATGGTTTATTTCACGATATGACATTTTTAGCTCACCGGGTCTGAAGGACCAAGGTCAGCTTATGTCATACCTTGGCGTCCGTCCTCTGACCGTCGTCTGTCGTCCACCTGTTGTCCGTACGTCAACAATTTATTCAAACGACTTCTTCTTCTGAACCACTAATTGGAAATTAACGAAAGTTGTCAGGAAGCATCCCTAGGTGGTGGGGATTCAAAATTGTACAAATGGTGGGGCTGATCCCCCAAAGGGGCTGAGGGGCGAGGCCATATAGGGGTAATTTGGCTATATTGTTTTAAACAACTTCTTCTCTGGAACTAAGAGATAGATATGAACCATATTTGATTGGAAGCATCCCTAGGTGTTGGGGATTCAAAATTGTACAAATGGTGGGGCTGACCCTCCAAGGGGCTGAGTTGCGGGGCCAAATAGTGGTAATTTGGCTATATTGCATTAAACGACTTCCTCTCTGTAACTAAGAGATAGTTATCAATAATATTTGGTTGGAAGCATTCTCCGGTGGTGGGGATTCAAAATTGTACAAATGGAGGGGCTGAGCGGTGGGGCCAAATAGGGGTAATTTGGCTATATTGCTTTAAGCGACTTCTTCTCTGGAACTAAGAGATAGATATCAACCATATTTGGTTGGACGCATTCTCCGATGGTGAGGATTCAAAATTGTACAAATTAAAGGGCTGATCACCCCCAGAGTGCTGAGGGGCGGTGCCAAATAGGGGTAATTTGGCTATATTGCATTAAACGACTTCCTCTCTGGAACTAAGAGATAGTTATCAACAATATTTGGTTGGAAGCATTCTCCATTGTTGGGGATTCAAATTGGAGAAATTGAGGGGCTGAACCCTACCCCCAGTATTTTGAGAGGAATGCACATATGCTACCAGGACTGGACCTTCTGTTCATCTGTCCAGCACTCCCAAAAGAGTTAGAACCTTGACCATAACATGCAAACAGATATTATCCCTACCCTATAATAAACAGATACATTGTATACATTTGGTTGTTATGAAAAAATAATACCTCTAATATGATTTATCCTGGATCATAACATGAAAACGGTTCAGATCTTTATGTTACATTTGTATCACGGGAACTCGATGATAGCGTGTATAACATAATATATTCGTATAGAAAAATAATCACAACCCTCTATATACACATAGACAAGGAGTGACACCCAACATATTGGTCCTCATTCAAGATTTCGCACTCGGTTAGAATCACAGCTCGATATTGCATGAAATATGAATGTCACTTATTTCAACCTATTGGCACCTGCTAAAGAAACCATAGGCTACACAATCGTGTTCATCTGTGGTCACCTTGCGAAATCTTGAATAAGGACCAAGATGGCAGGTGTCTATATGTATATAGAGGGTTGTTATTATTTTTCTGTACGAATATATTATGCTATACACCCTGTCATCGAGTTCCTGTGATTTGTATCTAGAGAAATACACGTTCATGCTGTCAGATTTGCCATCCAATGCTGACAGTCAAAATTACGAAATATTTGCAGTATTCTAGATACATGTACAATGCAAATGTATATTTGGTCATGACTGCGTAAATATCCAGGTGAGTGATACAGGCCCTATGGGCCTCTTGTTCTATCATGACGTCATTTGTGGAGACTCAAACATATGCTTGTAACTTGATGACGTCATAAATTTGACGATGCTATTTTTGAGAGGATAGTGAGTTGTTTCCCTCAGATGTAGCTCGGCAATGAAGTTAAACACCATGGCTGAAAGATCACACCCAAGAGTGGGCAAGATATGGCAGCGTATAATGAAAGAAAAGGTACAGACAAATGTCTGTCTATTATCCACTTGTTCATTGTAATGATGTTTGCGGGAATATAAACTTTACCCCCCTGTTCATAAAATGGACTTGTCCAACATTGTCGAGATCGGATCATTCATTAATCATCATTATTTAAATACTCACTCTCTCATGATGCTGGGACCGTCTCCGTGGGCTAGTGGTAGAGCGTCCGCCCGGAGAGTGGAAGGTCCGGGGTTCGATCCCCGGCCGTGTAATTTCAAAAGACGTTAAAAGATGGTACTTGCTGTTACCCTGTCTGACGCTCGGCATTAAGGGGCTAAAACAAGGATGGGTCGGCTTGGTGTCGGTAAACTGTGTGTGATGGGGCATTCATGTTAAACTGCGGCATGGTATCTCAGTGAGCTAGCACTATGAATGCGGACCAGAGAGAGAGACACACACACACACACACACACACACACACACACACACACACACACACACATGCATGCACGTCGTTAAATAAGTGCAGTAATCTTGGACCCGATGTTAAACCCAATTTCACTTCACCTCACCTCACCTCACCTCACCTCACCTCACCTCACCTCACCTCACCTCACCTCACCTCACCTCAACTCATGCTGCTGGTGTTGTGCTTGTTTCAGATACCAAACTTCTAGATGATTATGGCTCCAGCTTTGTTCAGGCATGGAAGATGACCCACAACTTCAGGGTTTGGTCTAAAACTGATCATGCTGGTCTCAAGGAGTTCCCTCCTGGGTAATCAGCCAATCCTCATAGTCATCTCATGTTTGTGTTGTATATATATCCCCATGTCACATGTTTTCGAGCCCCTATGCAATACCTAACCACGCGCTTAATGACGTAATCAAGGTAGACACTTCAAAGCTCACTGAAGAGCATCAAAATGTTTGCCACTTGGCTCTGAAGGTATGTTGCCATTTAAGCTATACAAGGTAAGATATTCAATAGGTAATGTAAACATACCTCAAAACTTACTTTTTCACTAATGCAATTTTCATCCAAACTTGATCTGATGATAATTTGGCATCAAAACGATCATATGCACCGATGGTGTATCGGCTGCCGTCTGTAAACTTCCTGTCAGTAATGTCATGTGACTGACCATGTTGTGCATCTATTTTTAACTTGACTGTAATGAAGGATCTTCCCGAGGCAAGAGAGTTAACTGACTTTAAAAGTCCAGTTTCCACTCTTTCCGAACTAGGCTGAAATTACTGGGCTCGATCGTAGTGCCACCAGTGGCTATTACCAGTTATGTCTCCTCTAAGCCTCTCCTATGGACCAACGAGTTGGCGGTGCACATGCTTTGCAAATCCTGCAATCGACCGAAATCTGCACGACAGTTTACGAACCAGATATCGATTTCGGTGCGTGATTTTGTTTGGACTATGCATAGACTCGTTAGTCCAGCCAAAATGTAACTCCATAATACCAGCCTAGTTCGGCAAGGGTGGAAACTGGACTTTTATAGTCAGTTAACTCTCTTGCCTCAGGAAGATGGTAATGAAGGGGCTCAAAATCAGGGGACGGTAACAAGAGGGCACCTGATTGACTCATCTCGCTTGGCGAGGCATTATCATGAGTAAATTGACAAGATGAGGTCATTCAACTTTCCAATTGTAAATAGACCAGTGAAGATCCAGGGTAGAATAGGTCTTCAGCAACCCATGCTTGCCGTAAAAGGTGACTATGCTTGTCATAGGAGGCGACTAACGGGATCGGGTGGTCAGGCTCGCTGACTTGGTTGATGCATGTCATCGATCCCAAATGCGTTGATCGATGTTCATGATGTCAATCCCTGAATTGTCTGGTCCTGACTCGATTATTTATCATATAGCTGGAATATTGCTGAGTGCAGCGTTAAACAACAAACCAACCAACAAATTGTAAATAGAAATAGTGCTCTCAAAGGTAAGACTTAATTTAAGTGTCTCCCTGTTGTTATTAGACAAGGGAAACGAGGATACTACAGAACTGCTGAAAGTCCAGACAGCTTATGCCATAGCAAGTTGTCTGCCCATCCTTCTGTCGTAAACATATATCTTTTAAACTTCTGCAAATACAAGGTCTATGCCGCTGCAACTTGCTGGATGATCCCAGCAATGACGTTTCAAATATCCTCACACAATTCCAATTCATTGCGTGGGACATCAGACTTGTGTGGGATTGTTACAAGATGGCGATCTGGGCCTTGTTCCACAAAGTGACTGTAAAGCCAAAACAATTATAAGTCCCATACTTTGACTTTGACTTACAGCAGTCTTATAAACCTACTGGCTGTTTGTGTAACTCGATATGGAGTTTTTGAAATTGTGTTAACACCTCGTAGGAGGTATTACAACGATTGTAACACCTCGCAGGAGGGCTTACAATCATTGTAAACCCTTGATAGAACAAAAACTATGAACAGCCTACGAGACGCACGTGCAGATTTCGTGCCATTGCGAGACGCTCGTGCAGATTTCGCACCATTGCGAAACCCACGTCCTGAGGTCACCGGTTTCATTGAACCGAGTTCACGACTGCAGGCGATATTTCATCTCCGATACAGGCTATACATTTGAGAGTTTTTATTACAGTTATTTAATTAAAAACATTGTCTATGCGATGAGTCGGTTTATAAGTTGGACAAACCATGTCTCCTCGAGATTAGTAGAGATTGTAAACCCTCACATTCGGGAACGTCCCTCATTTGAGGGTTTACAATCTCTAGTAATCCCTCGGAGACATAGTTTCTCCTACACGTAGCCCCTGCCAATCAGACTGCTAGATTCTCTGATACTTTTGTTGACATTGACATGAAAACATTCTCTCCATATTACAAACCGTGACATTGCCAGATGTTGACAATTGATGAGGAAGATTTGGGTCAGCATATCAGCTGTAATTGATGAACACAACGGACATACCCCTCGTGGGGATTACAGTGTACAACTGGTCACTAGCAGCCTATGCTGGTCGTAAGAGGAGTCTTAATGGATCAGGTGGTTAGGCTCGGTGACTTGTTGATTGCGTGCTATCATCTGATGGCGTGGATCATTGCTCGTAATGTCAGTCACTGGATTGTCTTTTCCTGAGAACAAAACAAACACACACACACACCAGAGTTACCTTGGGGTGAAAAACTCTTATTCAATGTCTTTCTTTCAATTTTCAGACATCCATACCAAGGGCATTTGAATGTTGCAGATCTCAGAGTGAGGCTGTCCCAGTAAGTTCCAGTAGGAAGTCGTTATTTTTAGTCATTTCATATGCTGATTGGTTTGTCTGGTTTAAACTAGTTTTATAACTATGTGCTATTGCCAACTTTTGTCATATCACCATAACTCCCTGCAGTAAGGGGCATATCACCATAACTCTCTCCATTAAGGGGCATAACACCATAACTCCCTCTAGTAAGGGGCATATCACCATAACTCCCTCCAGTAAGAGGCATATCAACATAACTCCCTCCAGTAAGGGGCATATCACCATAACTCATTCCAGTCAGAGGCATACCACCATTACTCCCTCCAGTAAGGGGCATATCACCATAACTCCCTCTAGTAAGGGGCATATCACCATAACTCATTCCAGTAAGGGGCATATCACCATAACTCCCTCTAGTAAGGGGCATATCACCATAACTCCCTCCAGTAAGAGGCATATCAACATAACTCCCTCCAGTAAGGGGCATATCACCATAACTCATTCCAGTCAGAGGCATACCACCATTACTCCCTCCAGTAAGGGGCATATCACCATAATTCATTCCAGTAAGGGGCATATCACCATAACTTCCAGTAAGGGGCATATCACCATAACTCATTCCAGTCAGAGGCATACCACCATTACTCCCTCCAGTAAGGGGCATATCACCATAATTCATTCCAGTAAGGGGCATATCACCATAACTTCCAGTAAGGGGCATATCACCATAACTCCCTCCAGTAAGGTGCATATCACCATAACTCTCTCCATTAAGGGGCATAACACCATAACTCCCTCTAGTAAGGGGCATATCACCATAACTCCCTCCAGTAAGAGGCATATCAACATAACTCCCTCCAGTAAGGGGCACATCACCATAACTCATTCCAGTCAGAGGCATACCACCATTACTCCCTCCAGTAAGGGGCATATCACCATAACTCCCTCTAGTAAGGGGCATATCACCATAACTCATTCCAGTCAGAGACATACCACCATTACTCCCTCCAGTAAGGGGCATATCACCATAATTCATTCCAGTAAGGGGCATATCACCATAACGTCATCCAGTAAAGGGCATATCACGATAATTCATTCCAGTAAGAGGCATATCACCATAACTCCCTCTAGTAAGGGGCATATCACTATAACTCCCTCCAGTAAGTGAGTTAGTATGGTTTTAACCAGGGGTCCGGAAAATTTAAAATCCCAATCGGACATTTGCATGTAGACCACGCCCCCTTCAAATAGCGTATTTTAGTACGACTTTTCACACACATTACAAGTTTACATATTCATAATATGACAAATTATGAATTGTTTCAATTTAAATTGTTTAATTCACTGGACAATTAATAACAATTAATATCATTTTAGATTTACATGGAAAACATACGTTTGTTTCTGTTATAATAGCGATCTGTTAACGTAGTGAACGGTCTAATTAATATTCATGAGTTATATTCGTGAGTCTGCTCAAGTGTACGCGTTGTAACATTTGGATCGAGACTATTATCCCATATTTGGTTATCACGTGACCTCACGGGAAAAGGTTTTTTTTAAACTAAAGATTTTTTTAAAAAACAAGACAGATAATTTAATCACAAATACTAAAATATCGTTGATAGCAATAGTTATTTGAATACTTTTTTCATCTGTACTTAATTATTGACCATAAAAAAATTGGATATCGATTGTCCGAGAAAGCAAAATGGCGGTCAATCAAGATTCAATATACGACTAGCTACTGAAAACAATAAAATCTGCAAATCCTCATTGTATGTCAAACAAGTGAAAGTCGTTAGCCACGACTTACAAAATGATCGTCCAGACTTTGAGGGTTTGGCAGATCCGCTCTACTGATCTGCATCGGTCGACTGGCTGTCATCACGCTTTCGCTTCTTGTCTGAGGTTACGTATCGTAGCATTGTGAGGATAATGAGGTACATCGATGATGCAAGGTATTAATGTACAGTTGTAAACACCTTTCACTCAAATTAACAAGATGTTCTCAGTAATTAATCCTCGATTAATCAGTGTCAACTCAGTTTATTGCCTATTACAGTGATTGACCGATTGGACTATCATGTAGGTACGATGTATTTACAGCAATCAAAACAAACAAAGCTTGTCAGTGTAGTTAATCTTCATTGTGTTGCAACTGCAGACAGAAACTGCTCAGTCCTAACTGTTGATCATGTCCGGTCAAAATTTAAGAATGTCCGGACAATCCTTTTTAAAATGTCAGGTAAGCAATATTTTAAAACGGACATTTGAGATTCCCAATCGGACATGTCCGGCGCATATGACGGTTTCTGGACCCCTGGTTTTAACGCCGCTTTTAGCAATATTCCAGCAATATCACGGCGGGGGACACCAGAAATGGGCTTCACAACCCTCCAGAAAGGGGCATATCACCATAACTCCCCCCAGTAAGGTGCATATCACCATAACTCCCTCCAGTAAGAGGCATATCAACATAACTCCCTCCAGTAAGGTGCATATCACCATAACTCATTCCAGTAAGGGGCATATCACCATAACTCCCTCTAGTAAGGGGCATATCACCATAACTCATTCCAGTAAGGGGCATATCACCATAACTCCCTCTAGTAAGGGGCATATCACCATAACTCCCTCCAGTAAGAGGCATATCAACATAACTCCCTCCAGTAAGGGGCATATCACCATAACTCATTCCAGTCAGAGGCATACCACCATTACTCCCTCCAGTAAGGGGCATATCACCATAATTCATTCCAGTAAGGGGCATATCACCATAACTTCCAGTAAGGGGCATATCACCATAACTCCCTCCAGTAAGGTGCATATCACCATAACTCTCTCCATTAAGGGGCATAACACCATAACTCCCTCCAGTAAGGGGCATATCACCATAACTCCCTCCAGTAAGAGGCATATCAACATAACTCCCTCCAGTAAGGGGCATATCACCATAACTCATTCCAGTCAGAGGCATACCACCATTACTCCCTCCAGTAAGGGACATATAACCATAACTCCCTCTAGTAAGGTGCATATCACCATAACTCATTCCAGTAAGGGGCATATCACCATAACTCCCTCCAGTAAGGTGCATATCACCATAACTCATTCCAGTAAGAGGCATATCACCATAACTCCCAGTAAGGGGCATATCACCATAACTCCCTCCAATAAAAGGCATATCACCATAACTTCCTCCAGTAAAGAGCATATCACCATAACTCATTCCAGTAAGGGGCATATCACCATAACGTCCTCCAGTAAAGGGCATATCACTATAATTCATTCCAGTAAGAGGCATATCACCATAACTCCCTCTAGTAAGGGGCATATCACTATAACTCCCTCCAGTAAGTGAGTGAGTATGGTTTTAACGCCGCTTTTAGCAATATTCCAGCAATATCACGGCGGGGGACACCAGAAATGGGCTTCACAACCCTCCAGAAAGGGGCATATCACCATAACTCCCCCAAGTAAGGTGCATATCACCATAACTCATTCAAGTAAGGGGCATATCACCATAACTCCCACCAGTTAGGTGCATATCACCATAACTCATTCCAGTAAGGTGCATATCACCATAACTTCCTCCAGTAAGGGGCATATCACCATAACTCCCTCCAGTAAGAGGCATATCACCATAACTCCCTCCGGTAAGGTGCATATCACCTTATTCATTTCAGTAAGGGGCATATCACCATAATTCATTCCAGTAAGAGGCATATCACCATAACTCCCTCCTTTTAGAGGCTTGACACCATAACTCCCTCCAGTAAGGTGCATATCACCATAACTCACTCCAGTAAGGGGCATGACACCATAACTCATTCCAGTAAGGGGCATATCACCATAACTCATTCCAGTAAGGGGCATGACACCATAACTCCCTCCAGTAAGGTGCTCATCCCCATAAATCCCTCCAGTAAGGGGCATGACACCATAACTCATTCCAGTAAGGGGCATATCACCATAATTCATTCCAGTAAGGGGCATATCACCATAACTCATTCCAGTAAGGGGCATATCACCATAACTCCCTCCAGTAAGGGGCATGACACCATAACTCATTCCAGTAAGGGGCATATCACCATAATTCATTCCAGTAAGGGGCATATCACCATAACTCATTCCAGTAAGGGGCATATCACCATAACTCCCTCCAGTAAGGGGCATGACACCATAACTCCCTCCAGTAAGGGGCATATCACCATAACTCCCTCCAGTAAGAGGCTTTCCTCCCACAATAAGTTGATGCAGTGGGATGTTAGAGAAATCACTACCCCAGTTCCTGCTACGGAGTTACCTCATGGTAAAAGTGGAAGTCTTTCATAAGGAAATGCCACTTGTCCTTAGACATAGACTTATGTAAATTTGAACCCTGTGTGCCGCTGTGAAACACTGCTGTGAAGAGCTGCTTTCACTCACTCTCACTCACTCACTCACTCACTCACTCACTCACTCACTCACTCACTCTGGACACACTGTGATATAAATGAAACAATGAAGTCTCACTCACTCTGTTGCAGCAACCTGCAGAACACCGAGCGTGGCAAGAAGATCAACGCAGCCGTTGTCCAGACAGGGAAGTACATGGTGCAGACAGGCAAGGCTGTAGGTATGTGCACCACACACAGACATCCTCCCAGCGTGTTCCAGCTCCTTAGTTATAAAAAATAATAATATAATCTATTTAAGTAGTTCCAGCAAAGATATTGGTATGTCCACCACACATAGACGTCCTCCTACTGGACATTCCAGCCCCTTCGTTAAAACAATAATGGTAATCATATTAATATAATCCATTTACATAACGCCAAGTTCCAGCAAAGATATAGGTATGTCCACCACACATAGACGTCCTCCCACTGGACATTCCAGCCCCTTCGTTATAACAATAATGATAATCATATTAATATAATCCATTTACATAGCGCCAAGTTCCAGCAAAGATATAGGTATGTCCACCACACAAAGACGTCCTCCCACTGGACATTCCATCCCCTTCGTTATAACAATAATGATAATAATATTAATATAATCCATTTACATAGCGCCAAGTTCCAGCAAAGATATAGGTATGTCCACCACACATGGATGTTCTCCCACTGGACATTCCAGCCCCTTCGTTATAACAATAATGGTAATAATATTAATATGATCGATTTAATAAGCACCAAGTTCCACCAAAGATATAGGTATGGTATAGGCACTCCAAGGTTGTTCTGTGCCCAAAACCCCTGTGGGGGTTCTCTGTTAGGATTAGGTTCCAACAACCCAAAAGGGGACTTAATGGCTTGTGTGTCTTAGTTGATTGCAGGACATCGCACTCTGACGGCATGGATTGTTGCTCCTAATATCAATCACTAGAGTGTCTGGTCCATTTTTAACATGCCGCTGTCATTCAGCTGTAACATTGCCAAGTCTGACATTAAACAAAAAACACTTACAAATGTTTTTGTCTCTCGGCATCAATTTCAGTAGATCTCATTGTCCCAATCTCGATCATTATTTGCTGAGTTTACTAGAACAAACGACCCGTGAAAAGACCCCGGGTAGAATAGGTCTTCAGCAACCCATGTTTGACATGAAAGGTGACTATGCTTGTTGTAAGAGGCGACTAACGGGATCGGGTGGTCAGGCTCGCTGACTTGGTTGATACATGTCATCGTAACCCAATTGGGTGGATAGATGCTAATGATGTAAATCACTGGATTGTCTGGTCCAGACTCGATTATTTACAGACCGCTGTCATATAGCTGGAATATTACAGGCCTTAAACAAGTACTAGACCAAATAAAATTTTACTTGACTCGTGCTTTGGGCCAATGACTTTGTTTGCAATCTGTTAGTCTTGCTAGAAACGTTACTAAGGGATGGTTTCAATGAGCTGCACCCTGGCTGATATCGTCTATTGTACCCAGACAGCCTGATTTGTATTCTTGTGCTGGTCTAGAGGACCAAATATAATTACCGTATTCGATGTAATAAGCGCCCTCTCTAATAAGCGCCCACGGCAACATTTGCTGAGATATTGGCTAGTGAACAATCCCAATTAGCACCCCTTCCGATTGATCAATGTACACAAGACTTATTTATTCGTGTATAATACGCTCTCATGTTATATATGCACCCTTAATTATGGGCATTTAATTCTGGAAAAGTATATCTGTCGTACATAAACATTTCAGACTGTCAGCATAAACCTCGAAATTTATCTTTCAACTCTGTTTTTTTCACCAAAATAACATTCTAATAAGAGCTCCCTATTTCTAATTTTGAGAGCGCCCTGGGCGCTTATTACGTCGAATACGGTATATACATTAGTTGCTATGATATAACTGCAATATTGCTGACCTTCATCGACACTCATCCCGAAAATATAAACAGCTGAAATATTTACCAAAAAAATCTATAGTTCATCCACTGACATGTCATTCATCGCTGATTTTCTTCCACCAGGGGGCGCTTTAAGTAATGCAAGATCAGCCCTGTCGTCATGGTTCAGTGGTTTCTCCGCGGAGAAGTCCCAGATGTCGCCGTCAGAGTCAGCGGAGACAGTGTCGGAACCGGAGTCCAGCTAACCCCTCCAGGCGTGGTGGCTGTTCTTGTTTATGCATATTACTTTATCTGAGGTCTGCTCATGTGGTTGTTTGTTTACAAGGTCAAAGAGACATCAATGGCTCAGTTTGTAAACCTTGTAACAGTGTCACTGCATACTTGTAACTATTGCAAGTTGCAGTTTATTACTCATTCCAATACTGATATTGTGTATTTTCACACGTCGCTTACAGTATCATATATGATAAAATAAGGATGCAATAAAACATCTCTTCTGTTAAAGTCAGAAATCGATGCAATGGTAAAGGTATCATAAGGACTAGTAGAAATTTGCCATTTTTCGGGGTTTTGCTATATGTTATCATTATAAGGACTAGTGGACAAAAACTGTTTGTCTAGTTCTGTAAAACCCTGTTTATCCAGACATACTGTTCTCAGTGAAAACATCCAGGTAAACACATGGCTGTGTGAATGAATCCTAGTGTGTACTAACGTCGCTTCAAATACAAATTGACCTCGATAGACAAAATCCGGGGAGTGATGATTCTGGATTAACAGGGTTCAAACTAACAACAGTCAGTGTATTTTTGTTTGTTTTTTTGTTGCTGTTTTGGGTGGGGTGGGATGGTGTGTTCAAATAAATAGCCACGATAGACATGTAGCCCATACATCCCCATTGGACCTGGGCCCACTTGCACAAAGTGATCTTGGCCCTAAGACTATTGTAAGCCTACCGGGGTATGTTAAAGTATGGGAGTTACGATCATCTTAGCGCTAAGATTGCTTTGTGCAAGTAGGCCCAGGGGGAGGGGACATTTTGAAACATTTGAAATAAAAGTAGGCGATATTATACAGTATGAAAAAGATAAGATGGATGCGAAAGTGGATAGGAGAGGGGGAGATAGAACAACAGTCAGTGTCAGTAGTGTCTGGTGTTGCTTGGGTGATGATAAAGTGGGACTCACATTGAGTACTGTGGAAATAGGGCTTGCCATTATGAGAGGAGCTCGAATTGTGATTACAGTATTTTAATTAGATTCATATAAGGAACCGAGCCAAAGAATGCTGTCAGAACACTTTGTGTGTTTCATGTTCATCCCTGAAGGGACGGCTTCAGTTCCCACGGGTACATTTTCTTAAGTTGTTATTTTTTTTAATTCCGAAGGAGGCCCATTTTGCCATAATATATAACTTAGCCCCTTTGTACTGTTGTCAGCGAAATACAGGTTGTCTCTACAAAGCCATAAACTTAGCTATTTGTTATTAGCATAAATGGGTAAACTTTAAAATCCATTTTGGCAATTTTTTAATGATGTTTGCTACAGATTTGGGGCTGAATATCAGCTTCTCAGCAGGTCTAGATAAATCCCAGAGAGTGGTTCAAACATGAGAAGATGCCGTGGGTGGTTCAGTTGTTTTTAATGCCGTAATTCTGCGGTAAAGAGTTTCACCCGTATGTCATGCCAGAATCCACTGATTGTGGGTTTGAAGCTGGGATTTGCTGGTTCTTGGTTTTGTTGCACCATTCCCATCACTTGGCTTCGTCATCCCCAACGGCGTTGAATATCCATCACTTGCATTCCATGACTCAACCCTACACATTACCACGTTTCAAGTAGGGCTGGGACGAGTCCAAATTTACTACCCGGGTACCCACCCCCCTATTACCTGACTCTAACCGGGTACCCACTGTAGGTCTCAAGAGATAGGTACAAAATGTCCGATTGGGAATTCTTTTACCATAGCCCTGGCAAAACGTATTTAGACACATGCATTAAACAACCTGGCCATGCATACACTGAAGTTGAATTAAGTTAAATATTTATTCAACCATATGAAAAGTCAGAAGGAATGGGTGCATAGTCAGAAAGAAATGCGAACATTAGTGACTTGTAGTGTAACCATAGAGTTCTAGATAATTTTTGTCATTAAACAATATATCACGTGACTAACCACGGGTCCGGGTAGTCCTGTGGGTACCCGGGTCCCACTCAGTACACACCCACCCGGGTACCCGAGTTACCCGTCCCAGCCCTAGTCAAGGAGCCCCTTATTCTGTGAAACCAAAGACGCTATGTTGATACAAAAGGCCACAACCATATTGCCAAAATCCCCACATGTCCTGAAGTGGTGATTTGGATGCAACCACCTATTTCCCCACCTGGCCTTACAAGCCTTGCTGTGACAGAGTTCTGCAGTAGACAAGAACCATGATTGTAGTTTAAGTTTAATGTTGAAGATTAATAAACATGATCTTGTCCTTCTCTTCTAGTTTTAGAACAACTGAGTTGAAATTGAAAGCAAACGATCAATAAAAAAAATATTCTGCAGAGGTCAAAGTTTGCCATAATATATTTCTTTGAGTTTGACAAATGTTCAATATTCAGAAGTTTTTAGCATAGTAACCATGACACATTGTGGCAGTCGTTCAACCATTAAGGCTTAACAAAATAAAAGAATGGGTTCTCAGGCAATGGTTTTTTAAAATATAGTGCGGGCGGGCGTTGTCTGTATACACTTTGTCACACTTTACTGTAGACACATTTGTATCATTGATAGTATTGTACTTCAAACATAGCTGAACCACATGCTGATAAAACATGCTTCTATAAGACAACTTCATTTGTATATGTTCGTGTGCGTATATAGGAGTGAATGGACAAAAATGTGCAATGACTTGTGTTTCTTCAACTTCTAACTCGCTGTGCAGAGTTGCGTCCCTTGGGCACGCCAGAAACCTATGATTGTGGGTTTGAAACCCGGGTCGCCTCAATTATGTTTCTAGGTTTGTCAGCACCATTCCCGTGCTCGTGGGTTTCACCGAAGTGGTAAACACCCGAGACCTGCATCACTTCGGCATTCACATTAAGCTGACACGCCGTGATATAACTGAAATACTGTTAAAAGCGGTGTTAAATCCAACTCACTATTATCTGACCTGCTCACCATCTTGTTTTAAAAGTTGTAGTGTCTGGGAAGAGATTGATAAACATGATGGTCCTAGCATCTGTTATTGTTAAAACTTTTTGATGGATGGCCTGAAACTGCGAACAGTGTTATGTGGACTAAGGGACGGACAATTGGATATCTTTGGGATGCCTGGGATTTTGTACATATAATCCCAGCCCACCCCCACCCCCACCCCGCATCCAAATAGGAAATAGTCGGCCCCTAAGACTGGATGCTAAGTCATATAAACACTCTATCTCTGTACTGAGCTGCAAACAGTTTTATGTGGACTAAAGGGACCGACCATTGGATATCTTGTGGATGACTTGGATTTTGATGTATAAACCAATCGCATGATAGTTTTAATGAAATAGAAATTCAAATTGACAAACAAAGAAATTAAGCAGAGGTAAGTGTATTCGGCGTCACGACAAGCGTCACTTGTTTGTAAACATAACAGTCATTCGGTTGCGAGTTCAACTCCAAGCATGATTGTGGTCATCTGTCACTGTGGGGAGTTTTGACTGGTGGCAGCGATAGTATAGAGAGCTCTGCGAACGGGATATCGCTGTGAGAAGCTTGCCTCTCATACTGACCCTACACCCTCGCAACAAAAGCCAGCTCAACATCACTGTTCACACCAACCCTGTTCCAGTACCAGGGCCGATTCTCCTACCTACCCCAAATTATCCTCCACTCTCACACCATCCCAAAATATCAACCCCTGAGGATCCTGATGAGTAAGACTACAGGTCCCCAGGAAACTAGGTTTGTCGTAAGAGGCGACCAAATGGATTGGGTGGTCCGGCGCGGTATCTTGGTTGATTGCGTGTCATGCGAGTGATACTCATGATGTCAGTCACTGGATTGTCTGGTCCAGATGCGATTACTTACAGACAGCCGTCATATAGATGCAACATTGCAGAGTACGGCAAGCAAACTATCTCAAAATAATATCTTATCAACACGTAAGGACAAAGATGATACATGTTTCAGAAGATAAGGCATTTAGACATGAAAGTTGTGTATTTGAAGATAAGGTAATGCTTATGCTTAATCTTAACCTATTCTGTGTGACCTTGACCTCGTGAATGACCTTGACCTTATTATGGCTGACCTTATTCCAAGTGCAATGAGTATGTTTGCTAACAAGCTTTATCACATTTATACCACAATGAAACCAGATGCATGTGGTGACAAAAGAGGTGATACTGTTTGTGGTCTTGTATTTATGTGTGATATGTATGTTTTAAGTGTATTAAGTCATAATTACAACATTCCTGCAAAAAAAGGAAATCACTTCAACACATTTGATGTACTTATATTTCTGTACCTTTTATCAACTTGTATATTGGTTGTATGTGTGTATATTCTGACATTCATCTAATTGAAGTGAGATCTTTTACCCTAATATCACACCCCTCTGCATGAAGATCCGAGGACACCAACAGAGAAGGTTGCATCCCCTGAACTTTATTTGTTGTTTAACGCCGCACACAGCAATATTCAAGTATATGACGGCTGTCTGTAAATAATTGAGTCTGGACCAGACAATCCAGTGATTGACATTATGAGCATCGATCCACGCAATTGAGATGCGATGACGTGTATCAACCAAGTCGGCATGATTCAGAAATTTTGATCACTGCCACAGAGCACCTACCGGGTAAATGCTCTCCATAGTAACCCTTACAGGTGTAGACGAGAAGGCACTCAAAAACAACAGGATAATTGCCGTAAAAGGCAACTATGCTTGTCGTATGAGGTGACTAACGGGATTGGGTGGTCAGGCTTGTTGACTTTGTTGATGCATGTCATCGTATCCCAATTGCGTGGATCGATGCTCATGATGTCAATCACTGGATTGTCTGCTCCAGACTCGAATATTTACAGACTGCCGTCATATAGCTGGAATATTGCTGAGTGTTGCGTTAAAGCACAAAAAAAACAAAAAAAAACAAGAAGATGTATGAAATATCCACAACAATTGACAGTGCGGCGTTATTTTTCACATTTGGAGTTCCTCGATTATATTCGTTTTGAAGAAACAGAAATTAGATATGCCTGTCTGAATGCTATGCTCATTCAAACCGAGGAATTAGAAAGTTTGACACTGATTGGTTGGTTAGAAAGTTCCCGAGGCGACCTCCTACTGAGGTGTCCTCAGATCTTTTCACAAAGTGAGGTTTCATGTTGGAGAAAGAAATATGATTTTAATGAGATTGATCATGACATGTTATTACTTTGACCTCAGATCACTGCCTTGTTTGCAGTGGTTTCCAGTTTGGGGTTCAACATCAGGTCTGTTCTGATTTGTATTTCATGCAAAATACAATACATAGTTCTTGTGGAACAAGTAAGAAGGTTAGGGAGAAAAAATGTCATTTGATGCTGTATAACAAGGATATTTTGATATATATATTTGGAATTGAAAATATATATCAAAATATCCTTGTTATAGAGTATGGTAATTGCTAATTACTTAGAGAGAAGGCTATCACAAGCCCAACATCTAATGTAATATCTGTTTTTGGTACTGGGAATAAAGTTGTTTCAGTTATTTTAGCAGAAAAAAAGTTATACTATTTTTTATTCTTTAGAGTAACATGTCAGAAGGCTTTGTGCCCTTTGTAGGTTGTTTTCTGTTGAAGAGATTCTAAACAGTGCATTTGATCAATTATTATTGAAAAGTTGGATGTTAATTTGTTTGATTTTTGAAGTAATATTATCTACTTTTCTAGTCTCTCAAAACTAGATTGGTCGGAAAAACACAATTAATATAAACCATACTAGTTTCAATTTTTTTGGCTTCAGTCTGTCAAATTCATGTGGTCAGTGAAATCCGTAAATGGAAAAATACAACAGTTTTGCTTAGTGATGATGTTTTGGATTTCTACATTGGTAAAGGTAGCTCATGAGGTTCGATTCTCTTCAGACTGCGAACCAGATCCAGAACTGTTGCCAGGACAATACCTTCGTCCACTATCATAATAAATACTGTTGGTAACAGAAAATATGGTTTGCAGATGATTGACTGTACATAGCACTTCAGGTGTCCACAGGGAAGAATAGTGATACTGAAATAGGTTAAAGTGGGTTAGTTTCAGATTGCCAAGCAACAGATTAACAGTGATAGGTAAAATATACAGTGAGACTATGATGGGAGAAGCCCAGGGTATGAAACTCCCAAAAAATTTCAGCCAGACCACAGGACTGGCTAGCCCTGACCAAAACCTGCCTGCCCACTATAATCATATGTTTCTCAGGATAAGCTAACAGGATTTCTTTTTGGTTACATTTTATCATTCATCTTTACATGTGAATTAATGCTTATCATCGGGAAATATTTAGAATATTGTCACATATGAAATATAACCCGACCGTCGGGCAGGGGGATTTGAAAATCTTGCAGCCCGAGTTGAAATCAACCCGTCTGGACGGTCGGGCAGGCAGGTATTTCGAATACTGAGAAGCCAACAGCAGGCATGAGGTCATACAGGAAATCTTGCTTGATAGTCACAAGTTTGGTTTCAACAGGGAGATTTTAGTGTCCAAAATTTATGCTGGCCATTACCGTAATAACAGGATTGCTATACTTTGTTGCTGGGTCTATTTCCCGCAATTTGGTTTTAGTGACTTTTGTATGATTTAATAAAAGATCAA